GGGTTTCACCTTCCTTGTCCAGAAAGTGGTTTATGAAGCTCCAGGCTCTTCCTGTGGCCACGGGTCTGAGCTGTCAGGCAATGCTTGGGATCCTGCCCACTGGGGTTTCCCGCATCTTGCTTTCTGGTGTGTCTCTGTGAGCTGTCTGTTTTGCCCCAGCAGGTCCTGCACCCCAGCCCTCCCAGGCAGAGCAGGGAAGGCACGTCCTGTTAGTTCTGCCCAGGTTTCATTTTCATGGGTGTTTCATATAACACCCGGTGGTGGATGCACTTGGCAATAGGAGCGGAGCCACGTCACGGCTGTGGAGAGGCTGACTCACAGCCCTGCCTCAGCACAATATGCTGGCTGCAGCATTCAGGTGCCTCGGGGAAATGAGGGTCCTGTTGCGTGGAAGGGGGCAGTTCCCTTCTTCTGCTCCACACACAGTCCTGTGCCTTTCTCAGCACTGCAGCAGCATCCTTCTCAGGGCAGATCGGGTCTTCCTCTGCTTGGAAAAGCAAAGCCAAAAATGAATTGTTGGTTGTAATTGTGTTGGTCTAAGGCAGGGGTGGGCAAAATTCAGCCCGCAGGCCAGATGTGGCCCACCAGGCCATTCTATCTGGCCCACAGGGTCCCTAAAAAAAAATTTTTTTTAATTAATATTCATCTGCCCCTGGCTGCCTGTCATGTGGCCCTTGATGGCTTGCCAAACCTCAGTAAGCAGCTCTCCCCCAAAAATAATTGACCACTCCTGGTCTAGGGACAGGTAGACAAGGATCCTTAAGTAAATGCGCTATCTTTTATTAGACCAACTAAACAGTTGGAAAAATTGTGCTTTGCAAGTGGGGACAGATCACACTCGTGTGAAGAGGTGGAAGGAGGCTTGAGAAGGGGGCAGGTGGGGAGTGGAGATCTGGAGTTGTGCCCTCTGCCACTGCAGGCACCCAAATCCACATGCCTCCTGTCATGAGTGCCCCAAGGTCCATGTTGCCACAGGGAAACTGCCCCAGACCCTCCTCGCTCCGGCGACAGGGAGGCTTCTTTCCGCCTGCAGTTCTGGTAGTGGGGGACGGTGCCGGAGCCATGGTGGTCCAGGAAACATGTGAGTGCCAAGGACTTTCATCTGACCGACTGCCTGGTTGGGGGCCCTTGCTGAAGCTGGTTTACAGCTCTCGCCCTCCCAACCTACACCGAGTTGTGAGCTGTTCACACCCACTTGTCCCGACTTGGACAACTCATCTCCCTTCCCAGCCTGTCTGCAGGCAGCAGCGGTGTCCAGTCGGACTTCATGCCAGGTGTTAGGGTCTCCTCTCCAAAGGTTGACTCCCAACCCTGATCTGAGTTCAGCTTCCCTGATGCAAGGTGGTGCAGTGCCCCAGACAAGCTCTTCCACGGCTTGGGGCAATGATGCTAATCCTGCCCTATCTCTGTGGGAGACGCTTGGCCTGGTGCATCGTAGGGCCCTGCTTGCCCTTTCCAAGGTGGGTAACGTCAGGAGCCTGGTCACCCTCCTCGGTTCTTCCTTACACGTGTTGTACGTGCCATACAGGCATACCTGAGGCTAGGAGGGCCCTTGAAGCTGGAAGTGGCTCCAAATGCATGCAACCACTTCTGCTCTCATGGAGGCCAAGCCCACGTTAGCACAAACTCAGGTCATGCTGAGCAGGGACCTGCAATCACCTCACACTTCGTTGCCTGTGCAGCTTGGCAAGAGCAGCTTCCTGGATGCACATGCCATGGTCACGTGTGTCCCTGCCAACGCAGGAGAGAGCTCTGAGGGTCAGTGCATTGACACAGCAGGGGACGGGGTCCTTTAAATGTCGGGTTTGTTACGTGACAGCAAGATCTGCAGTGGGGACAGAGGGGAGAGCGACTTGGAACGGGGCATCGCTGGTTCCTTCCCCACAACCCTCCTTTTTTCCCCAGGGCCAGCTTGTCCTTCCTGTCAAGCTTTGTCTTGGCCCTTTGGCCCGTCATTGGGGGCCAACAGATGCTGCACCTGACTCTGGTTGATAGCAAGCCAGGTCCTCTTTCTTCTGAGACAGACAAAGCCCTGAAGGAAACAAATGCAACCACGGATGGGTTGCAAGCAGGCCCCTTGCGCGGCCCGGCCTGCAGCTGCTCCCAGAGCCGTGCCTGCTGCTATGGGCAGGTGACGCTCTGCACAGGGGAACATCAGGTTTCCAGCCCCCCGGTTTCAAAGTCTCCCATGGGTAGCCCAGCCATATTGCCCATGCATATGTACAGAAAGCCCAGCCCCTTGCAGCAGCTGCTGGAGCCACCCTGTGCAGTCCAGCCCTCGTGCGCCAAGAGATGGTCTCTAGAGTGACAGACCCCTCGCTCGTACCCACCTGGGCAGGGCAGCAGGGAGGCAGTGGAACGGATACTCTCTGCAGCGCCCATGGCCCCCTGGCAGCAGCAAGGCATTGGCGGCCGAGGGCAGGGGCTGGGGCGATGCCTGGGGCTGTGACTGTTGTGTGGCTCTGAGGTCAGACATGGGGCTTGTCTGTGTTGGTTTGGACAGGGCTGATCCTGCCTCAGGCAGGCCTTGGACTAGATATGATTTCTAGAGGTCCCTTCCAACCCCACTGCTGTATGATTCAGCGATCAGCTCAGAGGTGCAGGGTTGATTTGCCGTCGGTAGTTATCGGGGATGGCTGGTAGGAATGGGCCCCTCTCCACAACTCCCCCCTCCCCATGGGGGGAGGCTTTGTGCCAGGAGCCTGTTCCCCAGTTGTTGGTGGCCAGAGAAGCTGACGCACATCTGCAGGGCAGAGGCTCCAGATCCAACGCCTGCAGCGGGTGAGGAAGCAGCCGAGCCTCGTGGCAGGCGGGCGGGGGGGGATGGGGGGCCAGGGGACACTGGCACATGCACTTCCATCCCTGACCTCTGCATCCTCTTGGCTGAGCTGTGGGAAGGCCCCCAGCAGTGCCGGGACATAGCACCCTACTGGGACCATGCCAGGGGAAGCGCATGCAACGCAGGGGTGCCTGCAGCAGGAGTCATCTGCCCACATGAAGCCAGGTGCTA